TAAAACAATGCAGATTATTGTGATCTTCAGTAGATCTTGTATAAACCATTTAGTAGATTGTAGTTATAGTAAATAATTATGTATGCCGAGTGAAGATGAATACTGGCATGTCTAATCGTGATTACTGAATTTTGCTCTTCTATTTCCAATGACCTTAGAATGCAACACATATAGAATGCCCAAATCATATGCAGCTATCACTATATTTATAAAAGGGTCAACTAAATAGTGTCATTGTACAATATACAAACATGATAACATCTCCATGACACACCCTCTAACTCTCTTTTCACATTGCACGTGCCTTCACGCCCCTCTTCTTTGTTTCAAGTTTTATATATCTTTAACGCTGCACCAGTATAGCCATAGGAACCCGGTTTTATGAGGCTATACATTGAATTTCTGGTTTATATGAGAGTCATGGCCATATGACCTAAATAATCGAATTTCTTAATTTTCTTCTACCCGATTCCTTACACGCTTAGCCGCAGTATTCGTATTTTAGCGGTCTCGTTCTCTTCCAATATTTAGTGTTTGAATTGAAAATATTCACCAATATAAGTGTGATTAAATTATGCAAACAACGATTCAGCTTGAAAGACCAAGGATTGATATTGCTGAATTATTCTCCCTATCTGACGCCACCTTATTGTGAACCAATAATTGTTTCACTCTCTATTCTATTGGCCGATGATCAGAGTCATGATATGGTTACACTGTGGATGGCGCTTATCTAGAAGGCCATCGACATGATAAAATCGTTAGTTTCTCTGACCTCTCTATCTTGCATATTTTGTGGTTATTATGGTAAATTGTATGGTTAAAATAGAATATAAGCATTGATCTATTTCTGATAAATTACTGATAAGTTAAAATTTCCATACTTTGTTTACAGTGTGTTGTGAATTTATTAATATACATGTATTTATATATAATATACATGTATATAGTTTTGTGTGTCTATATATGTCGGAAGTTAAAAGGTATATATACAATTGTCACTTGTTAGTCTTTGTGTTATAAAAAGCCTTTTAAGTCTGACTTGACAAATTTTCAGATTAGTCTTGAAGAAATATTTCCAGCCAGAAAAAAATGCTTTGATTAATATTATTACAGAGATATGTAATGTGAACATAATGATAATCCCATCAACAGATTTCGGCGATATTACCGAAACGGGTATTGAATTAACGATTTGATTTGAATTGTTTTGATTTGTTTTATTGTCCAGATAAATGGAAATTCTTTTCACATATGGTTACAAAGTATATAGGCCTACATCAAGCACAATTTAATTGAACAAACTTCCAATTACACATTCCTTATTAATCACCGAGTAAGTCATATTAATATTTAAAAATTAATCTTTATAAAATCAACACTAAATTCAAAGAGATTAAATCATGCTTTTAAATTTTAACTATATGATCACATGATCTCATTAATTACTGTTCATTTAATTTCAATATTCATATATAAATGAAATTAATCGATTTAAATACCATAATATACTTGGTATCAAAATATATTCACGGTATCGCCCCTCCCCTTCCTATTACCTTCAGAAATCATCTCATCTTAGTACTTTACTTTTGAACATGTGGATGGAATCGGGGACAAACGAGTCGCTTTGGTACGGGGGACACAAGGCGAACACCAGATCTATTGAAACTAAAATGACTGAACAAAAGAATGGTTGGATCTTTCATAATACGCATGACCTTAATTAGCTTTTAATGAGGAACTGTTCGTGTGGGTGATAGCTTTTATCCCTACATGGTGTGGACAGAGAACAATAGCCATCAGATAGCGTTACAATAGTCCTCGGATGTCAAACAATGATATAAGTCTTATTCCGTTAGGCTTCCAAGGACAGGAAACAATGGAGGAACAACTGCTACCCTCGTTTGTAAAGCCATTAAAGAGATGTATGCCGTGTGTGTGTGCGTGTGTGTGTGTGTGTGTGTGCGTGTGCGTGTGTGTATGTGTGTGCGCGTGTGTATGTATAAGCAATTCATATCAATATGGAAAATGTTTATTTATTTATTCAATTGTATGTTTTTGTTTGTATTACACATTTGGAGAAATAAAACAAATTTGAAGGAAAAAGTGTGTGTGTGCGCCCGTGCGTGTGCGTATGCGTGTGCATGTGTTGTGTGTGCGTGTCGTGTGTGTGTGTGTGTGTGTGTGGCGGTTTTCCCCAAGGCTTTTAGATATTCGTATCAATCAGAAAATTATTTTTTAAAAAATGACCAGCCTTTTACGTCACCATCCAAGAGACGCGAATCTGGAACGCACCTGAATCTTACTCTGTTATTAAACATGACTCCTTGTATACTCATATCATTGTTTCTAGATAGTTTTCTCATACTGATGCTTTCACAATCTTGGCAAATTGCCAAAACCTTAAATATATAATTTGAAATGTGATATGTGAATGATACCAATCATGGGAGCAACTAAATTAGATTTAATTGTGCACAATCTTGTTTGCTTTTTTGTAACGATTCCCAAGATGATGCACATTATATCGATCATTACCATGACATCCTTTTACCCATATTTTTATGCGATCCACGTTTTTATGCGAAAATCATTTTCATGCGCCAACGTATCTTTTACTAAATTGGTCCCCCCCCCCAAAAAAAAAAAAAAAATCTGCATATTACCTACAAAGTTACTTGTTACTTGTAGAGATAATCCCGATGGCAGCTATCATACAGCTAAACTGGGATGTCCGCGCAACGTGCTGGCATAGTGACAGTGCATGAAGTAATTCAAAACAGTGAATGATGTCTATTATTTACAATAAAACGGTGGACGTGCAAGTAAAAACCGAGACGTGGAGTCTACAGTAGCTTGGACCCAACAGGAGGAGGCAACGCTCTGATGATAGGTAGAGCAGCCTCCTGGAAGATGGTCACTGTTGGAGATGTTACTGCAGCAGCTGATAGGTGGTTCCACGTCCAGATGGTGCGAGGATAGAAGGAGTACTTAAAGCTATCAATGGAAGCTGGGGGTACTGCATACTTCAGAGGGTGATCATTTCTGCCCAGATATGTAGCTGGGATAATGTGAGTGGGAAAAGGCATGTTGAGTTGGTGATGGTGCATCTTGTAAAACAAAGTGGACTGTGCAAGAAGCCTGCGGTTGTGAAGGGTATCCCATCCCAGTTTGTTGACAAGTGCTGTGACTGATGTTATTCTCCGGTAGTCTTGGTATACAAAACGGGCGGCAGCTCGCTGTACTTTCTCAAGACTTTGTATTGATGTCAGAGTCCGAGGGTTCCAAGCTTCACTGCCATACTCAAGTTGAGGACGAACAAGCATTGTGTAGGCTTTGGATTTGATGTTCTTGGTGCACGGTGATAGAGTTCTGCGTAGGAGGCCAAGGGTTCTATTGCCTTTCTGGGTGGCGAGTTTACATTGGGTGTTCCATTTAAGGTCATGGGTAATCGTGACACCAAGATACTTGTATTGTTGTACTCGAGGAATTGACTCATTTAGTAGGGTGTAGTCCACTGTGACGGGGTGCTTCTTGTTTGTGATTGACAATGTAGCACACTTCTTGATGTTGAATCCCATCAGCCATTTAGTGGACCAGTCTGCAAGAACATGGAGATCTTCTTGCAGTATATGAGTGTCAGAGGGAGATTCGATACGCCGATAGATGACACTGTCATCTGCAAATAGACGCATTGTGGACTTGATGTTGAGTTTGATGTCATTGATGTACAGCAGGAAAAGTACGGGGCCAATGACAGAACCCTGCGGTACTCCTGAAGTAACAGGCATCCATGCTGAGCGAGCACCATTGACGACGACAGCTTGATGTCTATTCGCTAGGAGTGACATAGTCCAGCGGAGAGAGTCTCCCCTGATTCCGTAGTAATGTAGTTTGGATCTAAGGTGTGGATGTGGTACGCGATCAAACGCTTTTTGGAAGTCGAGAAAGATGGTATCAGTTTGGCCTCTAGATTGAAGAGAGGATGACCAATCATGACCAAAGTATAATTGTTTAATTCATTGTAGCATCTATTTGATTTTATAATTTCTGGATTTGGTTTCTGTTATTGAAGAACATACACTACCCATCTGCCTATGCAACATTTATTCTTTTCGAATTTCAAAAAAATATATCTATTCATATATTGTATACGTTCAATATATAATGTTATTGCAAATATGGTTAAAATATTCAGATTTCTGTATAATTATGTATACAAGTAATCTGCCATAAAGTACAGCGATGGCTTCCCGACACTGGCTCCGGCGGCGGTTGCTCCAGGCTTTTTTCATCAGGGATGTAGGGTTGGGTTGGAATTTGGTTTTAGGTTTTGGGCTGGGTTTGTGCTTCGTGTTGGGGTTGGGTGCGGTGAAGGTTTCTTGTCCGGGGTTGAGATTGGGAGTTTGATTAATGTACTGAATTGCCGCGGCGTAATTGTAGCCGGAGCAGACGGTGTCGTAGAAGAACAATTTCATATTATGTACAAAACGGATTGGAATTTTACTACCATAATATTATACGCATATGTATTACATGTAATTTTACTTTGTCACTGATGTAAATACTTTGTAAAAAGAAAGTGCAATTCGGCTCTCTCATTTTTTTTTATAGAATTAAACCATTTAAAATAAATAAATAAATGACTAAAACCCTGTGTTGCTGTGTTGCTGAGTTGACCTTTAGACCAACTCATATCAGCCGAGATCATGAAGGTTCATATGGTCATTTACTTTGCCAAATAATGTAATATAAATATATATTGCAGTTTCACATCATCTTCGGTATCTCTTTATCGTTTTCACTCATTTTTTTAATTAAACAATAATTGTGCATAAATCTGCAGAAATTGATATCATTGGGCCTACTATTACTTCTTGTTTGTTTGGTTTCTTGTTTGACGTTTGTTTTTGTATTTGCCAACAGTATGGAAATGTATAAAGGTATCGGCCGAAGTTGCAGCGAGTGGGATCGCAACTGTGTCCGCGTACATCATGATGTTGTTGGGATACCTGACCTACCTCAATCCGATACCCTTCCTGGTTGCTACCACTAAATCACTCTTCACAAGACAACGTAATCGACGGATGCTTACTTACAAGAACTATCAACCCGTCACATATAAACCATCCATGATTGAAAGATTTAAAAACACAGTCAAAAGTGGTGAGTATTAATTGGAATGTCCAACGGTGGCCTAGGAAACAATCATAAATTAGCATATAGGAGAAATCGGGATGTCGATGTAAAGAGGGAAGAGGTTATAGAGACAGTGAGAGAGGTATGGGAGAAAGAGGGAATAACAGGGAAAGAGGGAAGAACGAGAAGATGAGAGACAGAGATAGAATGAGAGCTTGAAAAATCACATACATGATCCATGTGGAATAAAGATGGAAAATTATTCTAAGTTTGATAACAATTGTGTCGAGTGATACTTTCAAGGAGCAAGAGCATAACATCATACCTTATTATTAGGCGAAACAATGTGGACAGTGAGATCGTACCTTTTTTAGGCAGAACTGGTTATATATCCATGTCAAAAATTAAATTTGCGACCCTCACATGAAATACAGAACTTTATTAATTTTCTCTTCTGCACTTCACCATTGATCAACGACATCTTGCAATCATTTCACTCCAGTTTCATTATTCACCGCCATTTTCCTCACACCCATCCTCACCTATTTCACAGAGCGGTCCCTCAAGAGTGAACTAATGATTTGGCTAAACACAAAACTTCCCCCTACTGTCGTCGTCGATGACTTCAAGGACAGTTGGTCGAACGGAGTTTGCCTGTGTTCCCTGATCGAAGCAGTCGTGCCTTCTACATGTCCTCGCTATGATCTTCTCAAGCCAGCGAATCGCGTCAACAACTGTCGACTTGGAATGACTCTCGTGCGAAAAAATCTAGGGATCGAAGAGGTATGGTATCTTAACTTTTCAGAAAAAGAGTCGTTGCCATTTTCATCTGGTTTAAGTAATTAAATATGTAGGGTTAGGGGTTAGTCAAGATGTGATTTATTACAAAGAGTAGAAGGCCTCTAGATTCGTTTTATTTGCCGTGTTCTTCGGCAAATGTTCTTGACAACGAATTACATACCTCTCTCGCCTCAGGGTTGACAGTGGCATAAGGCCCATTTTCTACGTTTGCCATTCCCAGCATTAAGAACACATTTTGATTCGCAGGTTCAGGCAAGCCACCTTTTTGTTGGGTCAAGGTTTGCATGAGTTCGATTAGTATTAGAACTTAACTGCAGAACAGAAGCATAATACGTAGGTATAATCTCGATTACCAGCTGGCTATTTGCTTCATGAAAAAGAATTTCAATATGCAAACACCTATGATGTGGTGTAAATCAACTTGTGTTCGGTTACTTCGTCGAATATTTCTCATCATGAAAGCGATTAAAATGTATTTAATCAGCATAAGGCGCTCGGCGCATTGTTATATTTGAAACTTTGATAAACCACAATCAACTAACCAATCAACCGATCAATCCACCCACTCATCAATCAATTAGAAAATAAATTAAATAAATTACATTATAATAATAATAACAATAATATTTAATTTTTATATAGCGCTTAATACAAAAGTCTCTAAGCGCTTTACAAATATATTAAATTATATTAAATTAAAATAAATTACATTATAATAATAATAATAATAATATTTAATTTTTATATAGCGCTTAATACAAAAGTCTCTAAGCGCTTTACAAATATATTAAATTATATTAAATAAATTAGTTATATGAAATGTTCAACGGAAGAAAAACACCAATATATAATAATAAGTAAGTATAAATAAGTTTACATTTTCCCTGTTTATCACAGCCAATGGAGCCCGAGGATATGTCGATGCCATCTCGAACAAGCGAAACAAAGCTTCTTCGTTACATCCAGTCCATACGTTATGCCAGTACGATACCAGTAGAAACCCCTTCCCACAAGACAGGTCCCTGGAGCAATGAAGGGGCGTGGCCCAAGAAAGCCACTTTTGGTGAGGTGGTAGTGGACGAGGAGAGAAAACAACTTATGGAAGCCGATAAGGTACTATTTTATTATTGATTCAAGAGAAAATGTGTTGAAGTTTGTATAGACTCGTATAACCTTGATTCTGAGTGAATATTAATAAATTACCCATACCAAGTTAATTTTATTGCTGTATCAAGAGGAAAACTGAGAAGAATGGAAGAACAAGATGCTTCCTTTTCAAAAAGAGATCTCTCCATTTCGTATTCATTCAAATGAACAATTCTTTGGTAAAGGATAGATTTAAAAAATCGCGTATGGTATTTTCTATTTTAGGACAATTTTTTCATTTATCTCTCCGAAGGTTGATTGCACGGCAAGTGGCAGTGGCCTTGTGATGGCGAAAATCGGCAAACGGGCCAAGTTTAACGTCTACACACCCAAATTTATTACCAAGAGTCTTTACATCCATATTAAAGGTGAGACGCCAAAGTCACTTTATTGCTTTCTCTTTCTCTCTCTCTCCCTCTGAAACATCTTTCTTTCATGTACTGAGTAATGTAATAGACCAGTTCACGGTTAGCACATTACTGCAATGACCAGGAATATCCACAGATCTTCAAAACATGAAGAGGTCCCACTTTGTACATTTGGAAATAATCACTCCTACAGCGATGGAGGTGCTACATAAATAGCCTTTGTTTCCTCTTTTCAAAGAATACTTCCACCTGTGTGTCATGGAGTGCACTGCTTGTGCATAAATGAATAATGGTTACATAACTTTCATGAGCACGTATCCAGTATTTCGTCTCCGTGTATTTCACAAAGATACAATGACCTTAATCTGATCATGTTCATACTCCAAGTCATCAACCGTGAACTGACTTATAATCGATAATGTTATGTCAACACCCATAGGTGCGTCATAGATTCAGATGAAAATCATCTCTCTATCGTGATTTTTCATCTCTCTATCGTGATTTTTCTTTTGAGATAACCATCTGAGAATATTTGATGCAGCAACCTGGTTCAATCTGAACTTTATTGTTCAGATTAATTGGATTTTCTCTAGGAGACTCTTGAAAGGGCAGATCAACGCTTGTAATAAGTTCATTTACATTAAAGAAGAAAATATTAAATGGAATGGCAAAAGTTCGAAATTAATCGGACCAATAACTAGAGATTTATGAATGTTTAAAATATGAGAGTACTAGAGCTATGCGAATCTCAAACTGGCAATTCTATAAGTGGATTTTAACGTAGTCACGATAACTCTCCCGTTTGTCCTGTATTATTCGAAATATATTATGGATGGTATATAATTGTAGGTCCTCTAAAGAGCAAAGACCCCCCTCCCCGAAGTCGTGCATTTGTTTCTTGTTTCTTTGATTTCTTAGGGGAGGGGGCCAGGGGGGGGGGGCCATCTCCCAAAATAGGTAAAATTAACGTTAAAAAATGTAAAAATGCACATTTTTTCCCAGGGCGGGGGGTGCCCCCGGGCTCCCCTGGATCCGCCACTGCTTGCATTTCCATAATTTGATTAAACGAATTCGTTTCCATTGGCCTGCCTGCCGTAGCAACAAAGAGAGTTGACAAAAGACTTTACTCTGTTTTGTTCGACGAAAGACTTTACTTTTTAAAAAAAAGGTATAGGCAGGTTCAGGACTAAAAAAAGGGGTTACAATTCCAGAAATTAGGTCAAATATTTGAAGAAACACAAGAAGACAAGTACTGTTATTAAGCTATGCCACATTACCTATTTAAATGGGAGGGGCACGGGTCGGTGTGCCCCACTCTAAATCCACCAAAGAAGAAAGAAAATATAGGGACACAAAAAAAGAAATGTTACATTTTATAAACTTCTTTATTTCGGCATTAAAGGCATCGTTTAACAATCTTAAATCTGAGATGCATGGCTGATTGATTGATTGATTGATTGATTTTTATTCGACAAGCTTCCAACATACAACAATATACAATAATAACAGATCATAAATAAGTCAGCTGAACAGGATAACCCACGAAAGCTCGAGAGCTTATTTCCAGTGGGGTCCCTTACAGACATATATAAAATTAATAACTTAAAATACTAATAATTATTTACAGACAGATAAGAAAATAAAAGAATTACTTATTAAAGAAAATAAAAATAACAACATTAAACCGGTGATAGAAATGATAATAAGTACAAGGAGAAAAGGAAGAAGGAGAAGAAGAAAAAGAGGCGGAGGAAGAAGAGGAAAATAATGATGAATTTGTAGAATTTCTATAACGTACGAAAACATAAGTATATACAAAATGAAAAAGTATGAACCGGCAGAAGAATACAAATTTAAATCATATAACATGTCATTTACTTCTCTTATCTGACTGTCAAGTATTAGGTATTCCTTTAATTTCCTCTTAAAATGAGCATAGTTTTCTATTTCCTTTACACCATTGGGAAGGGAATTCTAATGTTTTATGGCATTGTAATAAAATTTAATTTTCAAATACTACCTACTCTTTCTGGTAAGTTAAAGTTGAATCAGCTATTTCTTGTATTATAATCATGTAAGTTAGTAACAAGATCAAAGTTGGATCGAATATAATGATTCGACCTAGTACGTTTTATCAGTGTCTGTGATATGGTGTAAAATTCAAGCCCTACAAAAATTGCTTCAAAATGATTATGAAGTGCCTTTACGAAATTATGAATATTTGAGTGACCGGTTTTACTATAATCATTTCCCAAATAGATTGTATTGTTATTGTTATAAAAAACATTAGGTAAACTGAAATTTGATTTCGATTTCCAATCATAAATATCTTGATAATCAGAAAGGCGATCAGCTTCTAAAAGTCATGACTAATGGTCATAATAATCATTGCAGCATGAGCTAAATCCAGGATTTTGTTTCAGAATCTGAGACAATGTTACCGAGTCACTTTATCACGATAACAATATTTCAATGAATTAATAACTTAGAACTTCACTGATTTGAAATACTGAAAGTATTCATGATATTGGGTTAGGCATAATTATGGCACAGTTTTAACAATCAAGCATTGTCTATTACCTCGCCTCTCTACCGTTTTGTTGAATTATTCATTCTTGATCATGATCTTTTTACAGGTCCTTTGGGAGAAAGTGTTCGACGGAAGATCATTAACCATCTCCCTGGAGGCCGCCCCCATCGTGATGACCCTGATTCTTCCAACATGAGTGCAGCCTCAGTAGATGAAGGTAACACGTCATCAAGTACGTCGTCGGCTTCAGGGGGTGTCATTCCTTGTGATTACCAGTGTGTTCGCGAAGGCCACTACGAAGTCAGTTACATCCCCCAATCTGAAGGAGCTTATGAGATAACAGTGACCTGGGGTGGAGAGCACATCCGTAATAGTCCTTTCATCGCGCATTCATCAATAGCCGTGAAACGTTCTCTCCCAGATACCGACCCTTCGGACCCTTCTCGCGTTGTCTGCTTCATGCATGAGAATAAAAGTCTGAGTGACGCAGGTGTAGAAGACATTAACGAACCACCATCCGTGGAATCAACGAACAACGACACTCCTCTCGGCACAGCAGACTCGATCGAACAAGAATACGCACACAAATACAATGCGCGAACCAGGAGGCGACAGTCTTTCTGTCGTCAATCTCACGTCAATACTCTTCGAGAGTCCTACGAAAGCGGAGGCAGCACGTCACCTTACGACAGTCGTTGTAGCAGTATGATGACGAGCAGCACAGAGCGCAGTATGGATAGTGATGTCTTCTACCCGTATGGCTCAGCTAGAACATCTTCCTTCATGAATGCTTCTCGTCGAGGTCTCATCAGTTCCTCGTCATCTAGAAGTTCTATGATGAGTCATCGAAGCAGTTCCATTTTGAGCAGCGGTGGAGACAGACCAGGAACAGTCAGAACCAGACGAAAGGTGGGTATTACAGATATTTACCTATTTTAAGATAATCTAGTAATTCACTTTCCTGCAAAGTTTTATACTAGGCCTACTTATCATGCGTTTGTAAAAATGTGTGTCTTTCTACAAAAAAGATCAATGCGAATACGCAGAACTCTTCCACTTTTTGGGTTTTACCCCCTATAAATCCCATGAATGCATTTCCAATTCTTGTTTGTGTTACATCGTATTTTTCACAGTTTATTTGCGCGTTGACAAAAGGAAAAGATTGATTTTTAAAAATAGATCGAGGTTGATCAGTTTAGGGATATTTTTATTTCTAAAAGTATGCAACAATTCGCGATTCTTTTAATTGCTGTAAATTGATAGCCCGGGGTAGCCGACAACGTGAACGAAAGCGTGAAGAGGTTACAGTAAATATTTCGGGGGAAAATCCGGAACAAACAAATTGCTAATTTTAGCACATTTCACTTTCTATATAGAAGGAACTTTGTCTACCTTCTGATTTAAGTAATGAATTTTCCTATTAATATATTCTTGTCAATATTCCCATTTTCTGCTCCATTCGGTCTGTGACACAAGTAGGTTTTTAAATTTACAGACAGCTTAAAATCCGTGTGCGCGACACATTCTTTGTCTTGTTTCATTATTGTTCATTGAGAAAAAGTCATTCCAATATTTTAGGTGATTGTACATTTTTTTTGCTTTAATTGTCAAAGTATTGAAGCAGTGTTTTAGATTATTATTTTTGTCATAAATGTGATTTAATGAATCGAAAGGGAGAGTTGGATCCTTTGAATATACGAACATTACCGGTATTTTAATGCATAATGCACTTCAGAACAATTTTCTTAAAATATATGATGTAAATAGAAAATAAGTTGTATACAATACTACAACACATATCTTTGAGGGATATCGTTATTATGAGTATTATGGGAGAGTGGACTAGTGTTCGTGACTCCGAGTAGGCCTATATGTATCATATCCGATTTCAGTATAATTATGATGATGCAGACAGCTCAGCATAATTTTGATATGACTTCAAATGTCACAAATTAAACAAGCATTCGTATACAATGTAATTACACTAAGCAAAATGGAAAGTGATGAGAAGGGATGGAAGACAAATTTTTTGTCTCATATTTCTCAACAGAAAGTATTGGTTTGATGTCTAATTCTATTTCCTTGCTGGTATGTGTCTTTTCCGACAGGTGATTAAACGCACTATTCGAGGGGCAGGTGGTAAAGAAGAAATACAGTATCCAAGTAGTGCCGACATGTCGTCCATGTCCAACACCTCCTCCTTCATGGGGATGTCTATGTCTGGATTCTCACCATCATACACCGCTAATGATCAGTCAAGCGCAAGTGGTTCTCTTTCCATTAGCGATGAGCGTGTGACTACAGGAATGAGTAGCTCCACCTCAACGGCTCCATCTCCAACTGTTCTCGCTCCTGTTCCAAACTTAGCAATAGCTGACAGGGAGATTCACACCTTTGCCGATCGCGTTTCCAAACGGGTGATGGGGACAGCTATGTACGATCTTTCAAAGAAGGCTGTCCTTAAGTCCGGCACCTACTCAGGTCCAGCTTCTTCAGGAACAATGAAGGGTAACGACATTAAAACCCCAGGAGAGAAGCCCCTTGACTCTGGTCGTCAACTGTCTTTTGGTTTTGAGCAGAAGAATGTTGATCAGTCACTTTCAAAGGGAAATGCTACTCATATCACAAAAACTGTAAAAACACAAATGGATGGTTCATGTCATAATCAAGTTACAAGCGAGGAAAGGGCCGCTCGTAGTAAAAAACCGCAAAGTCCTAAGTTCCTCGACATTTCCAATGGTATTGAGGACGTTGGCAACAAGCCAGTAGAATCCCAAAATACAATAGAATTTGAGCCACAGTTAGGAGTCGACTCTTCAAGAAATGCTAAGGAAAGCAGCTCAAACAGTTCTTCAACAACGACATCAGCAGAAAGAGAACATATAGACGAGGAATCCGGATATTCCACTCTGGAAGATAGTCTGAGGTCATCTGATCGAGCTCTCCATTTGCTTCGACAAGTCAACAATAAAGACGCACATACGAAGTCCATACCAAGTAAACACACTAGTGCTTTCGAAGTTCGGGGTTTTCGGCCGGTAGAGCCATCAGTTGAAAACACTGTCGATAACAAGGAAGTTCGCAGGGATTCTAGTGATCAAATACATACTCCGAAGCCTCAAAGACAATCTAAGAATCGACGTCGAACGGAAAAACAAACACAATGTACGGCTGATGACATCAAGAGAGAAACTGGGTGGATCAGCAGAAGAAGTGCCTTTACGAAACAAAAGCGAAGAGAACTAACTGAAACGTCTTTGGAACAAGTAAAACTAAGCAAGATGATATCCCCACAAACCACAACAACGAGCCCTGCTCTGTCAGATACAAGCGAAGGGCGTGAGCGCGTATCATTCCATAGAAAGAGGTTTGAAAGCAAGACACCTTCACTAGAGAATATTCGACAACCAACTGCTTCTAAAGCAAAATTAAGTTCTAGATCAGTTGCCAGGCAATCGACATTTGACAGCGGTTATTCTGATGAAAATGGACACATCCTTAGCCTCAATGGTCGTGACCGTTCAAACTCTTCCTCGAAGAATAAAATGGTACGCGTGGGTAATGACATTACTATGGCTAATGCCCAGATTTCATCAACACCTCAGCCCATACGGCCCGTTAGAGAAAAAGACGATATCGCTACAACAGCAAACAGCTACAAGAACCAAGGGAATGAGACCAAAACGTACGAGTCAGGGGCTATACGCAAACGATTACAGAGTGGATCAGAGAGTGCACGAAATCAACTGCTCTCTGAGAAACCACGTCTTGGAGTTGAGAATATGATTGAAGACGAGGAAATTATAGCGGTTACCAACAGGCGACCAAGTTTTAGCGCCATTAATTTTGATCTTTCACACCTTCAACACGTGTTGGACTCGCAAGACCAAGAGCAAACTCCTGATCTATCACCTGGTCCTACCAAACAAATAGAAGGTACCCCTACCATCGACAATCAGCCCTCTGATTCTGGTAATGGCGTATCCTTTCTGGATACCGATCGTAGTAGTGTGTTGAGTGACAAAAGGGATGACGGGACGAATCAGACGTCATATGATGTCACAATGGCCAGCTCGAACGTTTCTTCTGTTTACGGCGGTTCGTACCGTACCTTGAAGAATGATAAAGAGGTGCCGGTAAGTAAACTCTTGGCAACTTTGGACAATGACCCTGACTTTACAATCCGAGAGTTCCTCCGGAAGTTCATGCCGTCTCTTGGGGGAAACCTAGGACCAACGTTCGCTGAGGATGTCCTGGGCAAGGATGCGGACAAGTTGTATCCGACTCTTGATGCCTTGGAGCAGGAAATGGATTCCTCCTGGTCAGAGCTCAAATCAAATATTCCATCAAGAGCAGGTGGTGAAACCAACAGTAAGAAGAGCAGCAGAAGACACACTCCTCGCGTTGGAACACCTTTCAGTGCACAAAGTTCATCAGATAGCTATTTCTCCTCCATCAGACCATCCTGCTGTCAGGCGATGGGGATGGGTATCCATGAGGGCTTGGTAGGAGTCAAGAACAACTTCCAGGTTAGTATGTACATTATGTTTGTGGATGTATTATATCTAGCATCTGTCAACTTCCATTATTATGTTGAACTTCAAGGTTGTTGTTTTTGAATTTTCTGAAGGGTTTACATTGACAGCAAAACCGAAACACGATTGTAAGGACTTTCACAAAAGTAATATAAGCAATTTCAGTAGCCTTGTGTGTCACCTGTCGAAATATGCGGACATGAAAATGCTGTATTACGTAATCCAAACATGATTTCTTTGATCAATATAATAATATATTAATACTGCCCTCACTATGATTTTTGAAAGTTTTCAGTATCTTATTTATTTTTGATGGGTATTTTATATTTGTTCTATTGGTCGAATAACACTTTCCATTCCATTTACTTAGTTTCAAAATTTAGTTTATTGATTAATATTTATTTTGACATTGTAACATCCCCCCCCCCCATTTTTTTTTTTTTTTTTTTTTGGGGGGGGGGGGGGGGGGGACTAATTAGGTGTCGTGTACATAATATCACCTTTTATATTCGTTAGAACTTTTTTTTTCTTTCTGTGCATTTCTTGTGGAACAGATATCTCAAGATTGTCAATCGCATTTTCCTTCATAGTTAGCACAATGGTAGTACTAGACATGATAACGTCATATGGGCGACATTTTGTGAATTTCGCAAATCCCTAATAATAATATATTTACCAAATAGCATAACAATTCCATATTACATATCATGGCACCCCATCTAATTGCGCGGTGACTTTTATTTCATCAGGTGGAGACGTCGAATGCTGGTGAGGGTTCTATAGCTGTATTCATCCGAGGTCCTCGTCCCCATACCGTGTGTGAGACAAGCGTTACCTTCACCGGGGATGACCTGTACGAAGTGGTATACGAGGTCAATCTAGCTGGATTCTACGTCATCTCTGTCAAATGGGGAGACAAACACATACCTGATAGTCCATTCATCGTCCAGATATCTTTCTAAACCTTTCAAACCTGACTCAAGTCCAGAGGAGTCAATGTTGGTTGGTTGGTTGTTATTTTTTTTTTTACCTGACTGCTAAGAAAGCATAAATGCTTGTAAGCAAGCAACCAGACGGCCGACGGCGTTAGGTCCTCTCCGAGGGACCTGGTAATGTGGATTATTGCCTTACCAAAGGTTCCAAACCGATTGATGCAGAAATCACATGAATATATAGACGGGGAAGGGAATTATATACATCGTATGTCATTTTTTAATGCATTCATTATATTTGTATAAATTCAATTAATATCTCATTTAAGACTTCCTCGTTTTATGAAATGGACTATTTCGATGAGAAACTGCTGCGTGGGAAATGCATCTTCAATGTAGTGTAAATTATGTTAGTGATGATAATATCATAGTCATAAAAGACAGAATATTATATGACAATGTCCACACTTTGGAGAGCAAAAGTTATTATTACTGCTTTTTCGTAGAATTTACAATTAAACCTGTCTATGAAGGTCACCTATTAAAGGAAAAAGAGAAAGTGGCATCTGCAGACTTGTAGTCTTTCTAGACAGGATCTACAACAAATTTTTCTTTCGAGGGAGACAAAAATCATGACCACTATATAGTAGCCCTTTTAGAGAGGTGACCACTAGAGATTTGACCGTTTTATTGTCTTCTTGTAATTGACGAATTGCACAAAAGTAAGATTGTGATTTGATTGCGAATGTTCATATCTTAAAATGATTCAGTCTTGGAAAACTAAGAGTTTTGTGTCAGTAGCTACTTTTGTCACGTGCCTTTTTTTAAAGTCTTTAAATCTCTTATCCCTTGAATACATGCTGCATAAATCCACCATAAACAGTGGTTTTAGCTATATATTTACGTGTGTGCTGTATTAATGTTGTGGCTATTCTTGCACCTTTTGAAGGCGAATTCCAAAATGGCATGCCCGTAGTTGAAGTCCGAAATAACATCTCTATACTAAACAAACTGATTTCTGACCTTAGGACTGTTCTTGCAAACTTGGAGCGATTATTCTAGCACTTTTTATCACATCAAATTTATATATATATATATATATATATATATATATATATATATATATATATATATTTTGTTGGGGGGGGGGGGTAATATGAGAATGGTATGTGTAATGTACAGCTTTGTATTGATATTTTATCGAATATGCCACTGATGTGTGCCTGTGTAATGTTTTTCTGATCCACCGTATATTTTACCTTGAACGATATTTATTACAAGAAGTACGTATAGATTAAAGAGAGCGATATTGATTGACCTGTTAACTTGACAGGGCCGCATAGATGGCCAACATGATGTTGAATGGGCTATACTACCCTTTGGTGAAGTATGAATACAAATACAAATGCTTTGAAGAAAAAAAAACAAATGAATAAAATAAACAAAATAAATTATGTTATGAGTTATGTTGTTTTGCTAAATTTAAACAAATAACAGTATAATACCTGTGTTCAAACAAATAATTCGTTCTCTAATAGTAGCATGTCTCGGAGCTGTAACACTGATATGGCTTCTAAAGTCAGGCTCAATTTTGTTTGTTCTTGACTCGTTGGTATATTTTCAAGCTTGTAACACATCCTCTGTGTCTTTGGACAGTTACTTTAGAGTAAGAGTTCCTTTCTCATTTTGAAAACATGTACTGAATACTGCGTAGCGACACGTTTGAGCACCTTTCCAGATATTTATTTGGCTTCCTAGGGTACACTGTCAATAAATGTGCAAGGATCGCATTGCGAAATCATGAAAGCTCCAGTATCGTATAAGCAATTTTATTTATTCCTGACTTCATTTCTCTATTTATCCTTGTTGTTATTATTTTGGAAGAAAATGGTCTATATAATCATAGAAAAGAAACATATAAAAGAAAATATAATGAAATCATAGTCTATGATTTTGCAGGATATAAATGACGAATAGTCATGGAGTTTACATCTACGAATATACATAGAATGAACATTTTCATGTATATCCTTAAATATATTGCCAAGAAATGTATTATAAAGATTCTATTTATCAGAACTACATTATATTATTATACTCAAGCTAAAAAAGAGACAGGATTCTATTTGACATTGATATCTTTTCATAATTTCTTTTGCATCGTGTGATTTTTATGAGTTTAAGGGTATGTTAAGGAGTGTCATCGTCTGATGACAATTGAAATTGTTAATGTTGCCAGCACAAAGCGCCTCCCAATTTCCTTCAACGTGATGGTTTAAAAGAAAAATGTCACTGAGCTATTTTCTTGCAAATAACTGAATAATTATAACAAATCTGTCGGGCCGTACATAACCTTTGCATATAGATATGTATTTTATAAACAAGGAAATGTCGGCAGATAATTATTCTCCTCTTTTTAAAGAAAATCAATAGATCTTTTATCAATTCCAATATATTTTCATTCGAATTACACCCGCACTTCTATTCATTGCCTGAAGTTTATATTTATATTGTGTGGTCTTCAATGCTCCCGCATTTAAAGATGAGAGGAAATAACATGACATTTGAAATGGTATAACGATATGTTTGTAATCTCATTATCACATCGAGAGTAGTTGTGGAAAGTAATCAGTATAATTATATAAAGTGTGTGTGTACATGTTTCATTAGGCATAGTGGTGAGTGTATTTGTAAAAATATGAAAGACTTGGTATTATTACTTCAGAATCACTACTATGATTTGATATTCTTAAATATTTTACAGGGAAAGTTAATCATGCATATTTTCATCGTTATTAAAGTCTTTAAATAGAAATGGTTTTGTTCCATGTATCTTTTATAAGTTTATAGTTATATGCAGTTGCGTAGCGTGGGCTTAGTCATTTGGGGCGTCGACACCAGTCTTTAATCTGCTAAATCAGCGTTTTTCAAGAGACAGGGAGAGAGAGAGAGAGAGAGAGAGAGAGAGAGATGGGGGGGGGGGGTGTAAAGAGAGAGTAGAGTATAGAGAAAGAAAGATAGAGAGAGAGAGGGGGACAGAGAGAGTAGAGTATTGAGAGAGAGAGAGAGAGAGAGAGAGGGCCAAATAAAATTGAACCATGACTTATTTTCAATTCCATATACAAATGGTTTATAAATGTTCGTGATATCACATGATTTTCAACAAAATGCGCGTTTCTCCATTTATGTTGCAAACTGACACATTCCCAAATGGCCAGGAAGAGCATATGTTTTTTTTTTTATAGTCACTAAGGGCCGTTGCCACTAACAGTAACACTAGTAAAAAAATCCTTTCCAGAAGCAACTGTGACAAGCACTGCCGGGCGTTTCATACTTACATCATGTAACACTGCACATGTACCGTTAAGGGACCCAGTGGGGAAATTGAATTCAGACAAGATTAAGAGAAGTGAACGGTACAACGAATCGTCTTCTTTCTCTAATAATTTAATGAAACGGCAAAGCTTCCGCGCTTCGGGAGGGGGGGGGGGGCAACTGGATTCAGACTAGGATTAAGAGGCGAGAATGGTAGAACGAATCGTCTTCCTTCTTTAATAATTTAATGAAGTGTCAAAGCTTCCGCGCTTTGCGCGGGAGGGGGGGGGGGGACTGAATTCAGACAAGAACACGATGCACCGAATCGTCTTCTTTCTCTGATAATTTAATGAAACGTGAAAACTTCCGCGTTTCGCGCGGGATGGGCGAATATGAATTCAGACAAGGATTAAGAATAATAATTTATTGAAACGTTAAAGCTTCCGCGCTTCGCGCGAGATGGGCGAAAATTAAATCAGACAAGGATTATGAGTCGGAACCGGTACAATGAATCGTCTTCTTTCTCTAATAATTTAATGAAGTGTCAAAGCTTTCGCCCTTTGCGCGGGAGGGGGGAAAACTGAATTCAGACTAGAACACGATACAACGCTTCGTCTTCTTTGTCTTATATTTTAATGAAACGTGAAAGCTTCCGCGCTTTGCGCGGGATGGGCGAAAATGAATTCGGCCAAGGATTAGGAGTAAAAATTTATTGAAACGTTAAAGCTTCCGCGCTTCGCACGAGATGGGCGAAAATTAAATCAGACAAGGATTATGAGTCGGAACCGGTACAATGAATCGTCTTCTTTCTCTAATAATTAAATGAAGTGTCACGGCTTTCGCGCTTTGCGCGGGAGGGGGGAAAACTGAATTCAAACAAGAACACGATACAACGAATCGTATTCTTTCTCTAATAATGTAATGAATCGTCGAAGCTTCCTCGCTTCGCACGGGATGGGCAAAAATGAATTCAGACAAGGATTAAGAGTGATGATTTATTGAAACGTCAAAGCTTCTGCGCTTCGCGCAAGATGGGCGAAAATGAATTCAGACAAGGATTAGAAGTAATAATTTAATGAATCGTCAAAGCTGCCTCGCTTCGCGCGGGATGGGCGAAAATGAATTCAGACAAGGATTGAGAGTCGAGAATGGTACAACTGATCGTTTTCTTTCTCTAATAATTTAATGAATTGTCAAAGTTTCCGCACTTTGAGCGGGAGGGGGGAGACTGAAAAATAACTTAGTTCCTGGCCCCGGGATTATAGGGTTAAATTTGTAGACATTTGGACATTGGCATTAATATATTTGTCGGTAATTGGTTGCTCGTTTTGTCGGTAATCGGTGGCCTCTACACCCTTCCCACTCCCCCACTGACAAAGATCTAGCGACGCCCCTGATAACGACACAGTTTATACACTCGAGAAACATTTTGCAAGTACTACTGATGAAGTACCGGACCACCGTCTTTGTGCATTGTGCAGCATCAAAGCATATACAACGTCTCAAGACGTGACAGATCACTTTTCTCTAACTTTTAACCAATTAGAAGACCTCTTTTTTTTCCAGGAAGTGCCGGTGGACATTAATGCGCCAAATGTGGTTCTCAAATTGCAAAAGACCTCTACTCTTGGAAGGGGTAGAAGAAAGCAATTATTTTTACATCATATTACTTCAGGAAGTGCCTGAAAATGCGACTAATTTGGTTCTAAAATTGCAAATGCTTCTTATTCTGGGAGGGGGCCAGAACCCCCTCCCAGACCCACCCACGCTTGGTCGCTCCGCTCCCTCGCCGCTAAAGCCTCGTTCTGTCGCTTCATCGTTTTACATATATTTAACCATGCCATTTTGTGCCCCCCCGTAAGAAATTCCTGAATCCGCCACTGATGCCTATGCCCCTTGAGCTTCGGGGGCTCCACCCCTTGTTGCCCCTAGACCCCACTTTGCGAAACGTTCAGCGGGGCCTGCATGTTAGAGTGGGGTGCTGCGGATTTTTTTTTTGTCAGCTCCCCCAAACGTTTTTGCTCATTACGCCACTGCTTGACAGGTATTACATTTCTTTGGATCTGTTTTAGCTATACAGTATAGTTTAGAGTTTGTTCAGTAATTAAGCGATGAGATCGATAGGATTTGGGGGGAATGATATTGTGGAAACTTTCATGAATTCAAAGTGAAATCCATACGTGCATAACAAGCTGTTCTGAAGGATCACAAACAAATAACGGACTGCAAACTGAATAAAACCCAATTAGAATATTGAAATGAAGATAACGGGTATTTTAAAGCATTTGAATACAAAGTCATGTTTAATGTCATTATAAGCAAAACGATGTGGTGTTTACAGTGAGCAAATCTGTTAATATATTATATTTATTTTCCATTTCTGTTTTCCAGCATAACGTTTCCTCTTCGTCTCTACCTTGCCCTTCGTATAGCCATGATGTGATTATGTTTTCATCATCATCATCATCATCCCCCACCCCTCTGTGTTTTACGCTCAATTCTCTTATCTCCTCTTTTTGGAGTCAATACGCTTTAGCATTGACCACTATACGCCTATGTGTTGATGTCCTCTCTTGGTTACTCTTATAGATTATTATTTTTTTACATGACTGTGTTCTTTTTGTTCTTTTTTCTGTACTATTATTATTATTATTATCATTTATTCGGCAAAACAAAGGGTATACAGAGGATTACATAGAAGAACAAATCATATAAAACAAAGGATGAAAATCATTAAAGAAAAAACATTATCGTGTTTCCCATGAGCATTTACAAGTTACCAGGAATGGGGCAGGCAAACTAAATCACCGAAACCGTGAAGGTCCCCCATTCCGACTTGCCGTACTCATGGGAGACCACTACATAAATACATTGTAACAACTAACAAGAGTATAGCAACACTCAATATGGCAATGATAAAAGAACAAACTCAATTTTTTAAATTAATCAATAAAGTACAAATTATTTTATATGTTATCGAAAGAAAATTATAAAGAGCCAAGCAATCAAAGCAAAAAAAAAAGAAGAAAAAAAAAAGGCTAAGGGTGTCCAGTTATTTGACATAAATATTTTACGGTTGAATTATACAAAATTAAAATATACAAATGTGCTATGAGTTATATTATTAAGGGTCAGAAATGAATGCAGATGGTTGGTAAGGATTGTTAAGTACAAACTATTCCTTTAGAGTGTTCATTTTTCATTTTATAATAATCTGTTCTTTCAGCTCCTCTTTCCATATTTGTGAAGTCTTATTTTGACTTTCCCCTAGATTTTCCTTCGAAAGTTTTTGTATATATTTATTCATTTATTTGTTTATCTATATCATTATTATCAATATAACCATTTTGTTAGGGGGGGGGGGGTAATACAAGCTGATAGTGAATACACGTCAGGCCTAAAAAAAGAAAAAAAGATGTTGTATTAAGTGTCCTTTAGGTGCCAAAACAAGGGTCGGTCGGTCGGAAATATTTTCTTTTTTAAAAACTTCTTTTTTTCCCTCCTTTGGGCTGATATTTTTCAATTATTTTTTTCATAAGACATTTTTTTTCTCCGAAAAAAGGTAACAAGAAAAAAAAAACTTTTTGAAAAGCCGACCGTAGTTTTTAACATTTTTGGGTCGATCGCAAAGGGCGATACAACATCTTTTTTGTTTACGCCTCATGTACAGTCATGATCAGGACAGCCTACTCCGGACTTCTATACCCCGGACAGCTACCATTGTAAACTCCTACCCCGGATATCTAGGACTACACAACAACGGTAACGCAAACCCTACCCGTACCCGTACCCCTATCCTCGACTCCAGACTGGGCGGTCCGGGGGGCGTTATTTTTTTATGCGGCACAGATTGGGGCTTTTTTTTAAAAGGGGTCTTGATTTACAGACTAATAGTGGTCGTGTGCGTACTAGTAGTAGAGGTCTGTTTTTAATAGTGTTACATGTAATCAACTACCGTATGAAAAATCATTACATCAACAATTAAAATGCAATTGGAAATCTGAAGAGGAGGCAGCACGTCAATAAGAAGAACATCACAATAATTAGTCAATAAAACTTAATAAACTTAAACGAAGAGGAATGTTATCTAAACACATAGTTCGCGATGGATATTCAAACTTCTTCGCAGCGCTAATGCGCTAGCGAACATGCCTAGTCTCACGTACGTGCAGACATTATTCAGAAGGGAAAGAACGTACTTCCCATAGGCTCAACACGCACCATGCCCCAATCTGTGCCGCATAAAAAAATAACGCGTCCGGGGGGCATCGTATACGGTGGTCAGGCCGAGCCAGCGAGCAGACGAATCGAGGGAAGGATCTGCCGAACTCTACTTGCCATGCCTTCTACTAGTTTGTTTAGCTTAATTTAATGAGCTAAATTAACATTTTAAATGTTACATATGAGCAGAAATATGTTCTCACAGTTGAATAGTCGCCTATCGGAAACTCCAAGCCAACCCCTGGACAACTCGGTGGGCAAACGTGTGCAAGTGGACTCAACTCTGCAGGATCGAGATCAAATCAAGGTATTGAACGGCTGTCCCCGGCCCTCCCGCCCCGGCACGGAGTGCGTTACTTGTTTGGCTAGCTTTCTGCCAGCATATAGTTGAAGACTTGATTTGAAGTATTTTAACCAAATTACAACAGTTAGGGTTATTGTTTGCTTTTGGTTTCCTTGGGCCTAGGCATAATAATAATAATAATAATAATAATAATGATAATAATAATATTTAGCTATAGCGCTTTTAATAATACAAAGTATATGGGGTCATGAATTTGGTTCAAATGAACATATTGGAAGGATGTGATCCTACAATATTCAGTGATCGTCGTCGCGGTCGAAATCGAGTCTTAAGTTATGAAATTATAAATAATAATCACTTTATGTTGTATAGCTCCCTCTCAAGGTCAAGATATTAATTAAGCTTTAAAACAATGTTTCTTGACTAATATTGACCGACTAGCTATTCCTGTTCGCAAATTATATACCACAACTACATATTCTGAGACTTTCATGGTCGCAGCTACCATAGTACGGCGTAGGAGCTATTTGAAATTTATCAAAAATTTACAGGGAGCACCGGTAAATCTTTATATTTAATTTTTCTCGAAAACAGAAGCGTTTTAGGGGCTAAAATTTATAGTGCTTTTATTACATCCACAGGAGCATCCAAATATATCAAAATTGTAAAGAATCACTATATCCACCCATTTTTCTAAATTTCCCAAAACTTTGTAATACCGGTACCTTTAAAGCGCATTACAAATATACAATTAAATATAATACTTTGTAGACGCAGGTTAAGAATGATGCCCCTATGGCCAGATCTTGGTTATACAGCAGCACTTAAATTAATAAAGGCCGGGCCGCCCGCAAAAGCGAAAGAGAGAAAAGGGAGGAATTTAGGAAGATTCTTTCTTTTTCATAAGCCTAAATAATTGAATGGAATAAGAATTGAGAAAGAAGTCAATAGAAAACTACATGTACATGTGTAGGTTTTTTTATTTCATGTACAGTGTATATCATTCAGAGCTGAGATGATGATGATGTCAGAATGCCTGATTAATTTACTTTAAAAACAAATTAATGTCTGGTGCTGGGAAAAATATATGTTTATATATTATATTTTGCACTCATCAGTTATTTTTTTTAGTCATCATGTCGACTATATCCCTTATTGATTACCTGCACGCTTGAATCTTCAAACCTGAAGGAGGCTGATGTAACCTAAATAAGAAGTCATAGCATCACATAAACAGGTCCTTAATATTAGTCAAGGACACCTAGGCCTACTCCCTGGACAACCCCCCCCCCCTGGATGACCACCCCAGTCAACTACCCCCTTGGACAATTACCCCTTACAACAACCTTCCTCTAGGACAACTATCCTTGGGGGTACTTGTCTGGGGGTAGTTTCCAGGGGGTAGTTGTCCTGGGGGGGGGGGGGTAGTTGTCCTAGAGGGTGGTTGTCCTAGGGGGTAGTTGTCTGGGGGTAGTTGTCCTGGGGGTAGTCGTTCTAGAGGGTGGTTGCCCCAGGGGGTGGTTGCCCTATGGGGTAGTTGTCCTCGGGGGTAGCTGTCCGGGGGGGGGGGGGGGGGGGGGGGGGGGTGGGTGTTCAGGGGGTAGGTGTCCGGATATGCACGCTTAATATCATGTAAGCCAGGATGAAAAAAGGTCTGTATTTTAAGAGGGCTACATCAGAGCAAAATTCTACGCTGACATTAATAAGTCAAGTTTGAGAAAATATCAAAAGGAGTAAAGGAAAATGTGATTTAAAAAAGTGAGATGTAGTGGCACAAAAAGACGAGTCAGAAATGTTGAAAATTATAATCTCCCAGAGAGAGGTACGTATACAACCACATCATTAGGATAATATATGGAGCTCGTAAATACATCAAGTTCCATCAACCATCCTGAATGGTGACTAAACTTTCATTCAGATATGTTATAAAGAACTTTTCATTCACAAACATCATTAAATATTATACCCATTGCGTTCCGGACGTGTTTTTTTGTGCTGCTACATTTTGCTACGCTATCTCTCAATGCATTAAAGATGCAATCAATTGAACACAAATTGGCGGATCTGTGATTGGAAATTCATGAATGTTTGCTGTACAAGGCAAATTTGATATGTAACAAGGTGGCCAATTGATCAATTACAACTTTCAAACTGATTAATTTTCCCATATTTATAATTTGATTTTTCTCAAACTAAACTAATCTGTTTCTCTCATGTTTTTTTTAAAATAATTAAAACCAACTTGATATCAGGATGAAAATCATATTTAAGACTTTCTTAAATCCCTCATTGGGAGGAGTCTAATATATAGTCATTCATGTGACTCTTCTATGCAGTCTCTCAAGCCCTGCAGATATTCAGAGATCCCAGCTTATATGCTCTACCATGAGATAACACTGATGAGCATCGGGAATGATTAGTACAGGATCTGAACTCTGAAGAGCCCCATCTACTGGCTACTGCAGACCCATGAGTGAGATGCCCATCAGTAAGTATCTTGTACTATCTATCAGGGACCTGTTTCACAAAGCCTTTTTTCAATGACAAATGACAAATATCAGTCACAAATCTGCTAATAACCAATCAGAAGCAAGGATTTCAGTAGCTTATAACAACAACTGTCATTTGTCACTGATGACAAGTTTTGTGAAACACCCCCCTGATCTGCAGTAATACAGGTTGGCTATTCTATCAGAGCTATACTATCATGCTCATTCTTCTGTCATGCTCATTCTTCTGTTGGGCGCTAGAAGGAGATTAACTATGCGCTACAGTATATGACAATAGTGCCCTTCTGGCTCCAAAAAGAAGCATTGTTAGGATGAATGTGTCTTATCTACTGATCCATATATTTTAGACATAGGCGTCACATTTTCTGATGCCATCGTTATACAAGTATTTGTCATCATAGTTGTTGAAGTCAACAATCATGCTGTACTTTCTATATAGATTTGGGTAGGATCACAAAATTCAAAACACAGGTACATCTCTTGAAGGCACGGGTAAAGTTAAACAAATTGGTCAAATCTGACCAAGGACAAAGGTCAATCAACGTTCCATGAAAATGACTACACATGCAATAACATTCTATAGCTTCAATGATGTCTGAGGTTCAATCCCATCCTAGGTAAATGTCTCAAAGATGATCTCTGTACTGTCATCAAACCTTACCTTATAATTATGTACCTTGTGAGGAACCAATAATCTCAAGAGGATTTGAGGTCACCAGGTCAAGAGTTATGTCGATCAGAAACACTGCACTTGGGAGGTCACAAAGGTTCGTACGAATGATAATTTTGTACAAATCTCCCTGTTTTTCCATTGTCTTCCCGAATTCCCATTGTCTGAAAATCGTTTGTACGGCGTTCGTAGCAGTTCGTAATGGCATTTGTGACCAAGAATTAAGGCATAACCCTTAAATGCAGGCAGTCAAATTTGTCTAGTTTGTGTTTTGTGTTTTTTAAAACATTTTTGTAATACTTAATAATAATTATATTTGCTTATATAGCGCCTAACACTTATCAGACGTCTCTAAAAAAGCGCTCTACAATAATGCAGCATAGGCCTACTTAGATTGGTATCCTCTCTTGGATGAGAGTAAAGTCAGTGTTCTCTCATTTTCAACGGATAAAGTCTATGCAACTTTACCATTATTGCCTAGTATAAACTGCCAGAACCAAAATTCACACCCAGTAGCATAAACATTTAGGTTAATTTAGGTTGTCTCCCCAGGATATCTCCCTAAAACTTAAAATAAATGGTAAATTAAAATTAATCTTTTGTTACACAGAAAAAAAAATGCATGGTTAAAGATGAAGTTGAGTTCTGGTCATGCGATTGCATTGTGAAAGAAACCATGTGGAATCGATCAGAAAAGGTTGATCATCTAGCATATAAGGATTTGTGTGTACTGCAAGGTTCTGGAATCATCAAAATGATACAAAATTTGGCCAAGTCTTGGTAAAGTTACAAACACTGTACACAGAAAGATGTATATGGGACTACACGAACACGTGGCGTAAAAATCCAACCCCCGAGTTTTAGGATGTTACATGACATATTTAGAATATAAAGGCATTTGAAGAGCCATGCTTTTCAGGGAACATGTCTTATCTGATGTTCTTCCACACTTGCATAATAAGAATGATAACGCTAACAAATTATTTTTCACCTCTTCCCAGAACTCAACTTTCTCTTTAAAGATTAATTGCAGCAAGATTGGAAGTATGATAGATTGTTAAAAATGACTGCAATTCTATTTTTATGTTACAGTAACTTTCAGGCCCAAGATGAAGTAGATGGGTACCTGGTAGGAAGTAATTCCTTGTATGCTTTGATAGCAGGTTATGGGTTGGCTAAATCCAGGTCAATGGTAATTTTTGTACGCACCTTGACCATCTCCTTTGCATAAATAAATAAATGTAGCTATTTAATCCTACGTCACAGGTGATACATGTAGGATTGAAGAGTAATATGCGTTTTTTTCCCCCTTACATGAAGTTCATGCTGCCCCGCCCCTTTACATTGGGTCCATATACAGGCAATATGAGAAGGAAATTGGATGTTATTATTACAGTCCAGGCCTTCTGATCATTTCATTTTGATTTCTTAGTCTATCAGGATATGAAGTATCAGGATGTGGTGAATATGTTTTCTGTAAGTTATGTTTGCATTCAGATTTTACGTGGGATTATTAGTTTTTTCCTCCTTTTAACATTGCTTAGAAAAATAATTCATGTATACCAGTAGATCTTGTATGTTCCTGACTTCCTGTACAAACAACAATATTATTACAATACTAGTATATTATGAAAACATGTATCGGTATTTGTGCTTCTTTATAAATGTACATGGATTTTGTTTCTTCTATGAAGACCCATTCTACAGGTATAAGAGAGTCAAGGTATGAGTAGGAGGAAAGGAAAGAGAAAAGAAATAAGGAGCAGAGAGAAAAGAGTTGAAACACAAATATATATACATCTTGTGTAGTGTATGCAGTATTGCACACAAGATGTTACATTACATGTACGTTAATCTGAGGTCTAGCCAATATTGTCAATTTGTCACAATCTAAACGGTAGCAAATGACAATCAAGTTATTTTTGGTGTGTTAACGGCTTGGTGTAAAAATGTCAGAGGCAAAAATGATTGAGGTAATAATGTCAGACATAAAAATTTCATAGCGTTTTTTACCTGGTGCCGTGTTAACCCTTTAAATCATCATAAATCAAATATTGTTATTCATAGCCAATGGAAATGAATGCTAGATGAACTTCATTGTCCTGATGAGATAATGTGAGATGACAAAAAGGTATCACAGGAAACAATTGAAATCTTTTTTTGAAATGATTATCTGTAGGCTTGTGCAGGTTTGCTATTATTGATACCATCAGTTGCCTTCCTAAGTCTCGGATAGGTGTAGACATTATGCTGCTGAAATATGTAGTCTCAGTTTCAATCCAACCTGATATTAGTGTAATCCAGGATATATGTTGTCTAAATTATACATCTACAGGAAACACGTTATTGCGTATTCCATTTTCAGTTATTACTTGGTCCAGTTGCTTGAAACTTACCACAGATGATAACTTTGCCATCATTATTAACTACCATGGCAACATCTTTCAATAGCCAATCAAATCAAGGTTTCCATGAAAGTTACCATCAACGGAAATTTTTATGCAACAGGGCCTGAGAATAATGTGGGTACATACTGGAAGGTTATGCACAAATCTAGAAAGTTGCTATGATATTATGCTTGTGTGCTGTTCCTTAAGAATATGCAGTGCAATGTTCTGTGAGATGTTGAGGATAAGAAGACAATACAACCATACCAACTTATCTAGAATAATGGGGTTGATAAGTACTGCTTAAGTATCTGTTTACTAAGTGTTTTGTCATTGTGTAGCCCTCTTGAAAATACAGCATTGTCTTTCAGCAAGTGAAACTTGTCATAAAGAATGAAAACAGCTCAAATTGGAGCCTTCATTAGACAGTTCATTTGATGCCAAGATGTTGAATTGGATATCATTGTTTGATGATGTACCTGGTAAGTTTTTGTTTACAGATTAAAATGTGTTATTACTTTAACTAGATGGAACTTCGACTGCGCGCAGTCGAAAATGATGCCTCCGTCAAAGAGCAATTTTACAAACCAAAACAGAAGAAATTTTTGAAATTCAAGTTCAATTGTAATCCATTAACAGGTTCTAAGAATATCGTGATTACAAGCAATTTCTCATATACATATATGACCCTTTGATCTTTGACCTCATGACCCTAAAATCTACTCAATTCATTGGCTCTGCAAGATGTCCTGAGTTAAATAGTAATCCATCTGTCATTTCTAATGAGAATGCGTTCACAAGCTATTTTTGCATACATAATGAGCCCATGACCTTTGAACTTTGAACTCATGACCCAAGAATCTACTCAGTTCATTGGCTCTGCAAGATACATACATGGTCTAAGTTTGGCAGGAATCCATCAATCTGTTCTAATGATAATGCGATCACAAGCTATTTTTGCATACATAATGAGCCCATGACCTTTGAACTTTGAACTCATGAACCAAGAATCTACTCAGTTCATTGGCTCTGCAAGATACATACATGATCTAAGTTTGGCAGGAATCCATCAATCTGTTCTAATGATAATGCGATCACAAGCTATTTTTGCATACTGAGCCGCATGACCTTTGACCTTTGACCTTGTGACCCCAAAATCTAATCAGTTCATTGGCTCTGCAAGATACATACATGACCAAAGTTTGGCAGGAATCCATCAATCGGTTCTTCAGATAATGCGATCACGAGCTGTTTTTGCATACATAATGAGCCCTGTGACCCTTGACCTTTGACCTCGTGACCCCAAAATCTAATCAGTTCATCGGCTCTGCAAGATACATACATGACCTAAGTTTGGCAGCAATCCATCTATCGGTTCTTCAGATAACGCGATCACGAGCTGTTTTTGCATACATAATGAGCCCTGTGACCCTTGACCTTTGACCTCGTGACCCCAAAATCTAATCAGTTCATCGGCTCTGCAAGATACATACATGACCAAAGTTTGGCAGGAATCCATCAATCGGTTCTTCAGATAACGCGATCACGAGAACGGGACGTACGGACGGACGGACGGACGTACGGACGTACGGACGTACGGACGGACGGACGGACGGACAACCCGAAAACATAATGCCTCCGGCTACTTCGTAACGGAGGCATAAAAACTATTAAAACAATACTTTATGTATAGCAGTCCTTGTGAACAGCGGTCCTTATGACTAGCGAGGTTACCCCGTATTGCATTGCATGGAGCAATACTGTAGCTCTAATAAAACGATACCATCTCTGATGAATTTATGTTTTAAAAATAAATCACATAGGACAAGTGACACTGCATGCAGGCGTGTACGCAAGGGGGGGGGGGGGTGTTTTGGGGGTTAAACCCCCCCCCCTTAGGCATTTTTTATGTGTGTATTTTTAAGAAAACCCCCCTAAAACCCCCCTTTGTTTTGTTTAAAACCCCCCCCCCCCCTTGAAAAAATCCTGCGTACGCCCCTGACTGCATGTACATGTATGTTGGTGGATTGTTCGTTGATCCTGCAGTATCATTCTGGTGCTATGGCATTATAAGCATACATTGTATATATGTTTCAAAGCTTTTAAGCTGGTACTAATGCATATTTTGTATAGATAACCTTCATTGAAACCTGAATAGCAACCACCGGTATAGAAAGGTCACCTGTTTTCCTTCTGAAAAAAAAATGCAGGAAAAAAGCTAATAAATATTCACATAAATGTTCAGTTTAGGCATTCAGAAATGCCTCAGAATGTATCATAGAGCATCTTCAGGTTCAACATTCTACAGACCTCGCAGTAATTTTGTACTTTTCACGTCCCCCCCCCCCCTTTGGAAAATCCTAGTTCCTCCCCTGATAGAGACCACATTCTCCATTTCCCTCAAACAGTGTTTGTCATTGAAACATGTACTAAAGGAACCTGTACATAGAGACCACCTGCCCATAAAGACCACCTTTCTTGTTTCCCTTGAGTGGTCTTTATATACAGGTTTTCACTGTAATACAATTTGGTCAAGATTTACTATAGTAAGGAGAAATCAAGTTGATACAGGTATCAATATATACCGTAAGTTGTTGCCAAGTAGAATTCGAAATGAACAGAATTTGGAAGTAATATCATTCATGTAATTATTCAAACCATGTTTTTGTTGATAACTTTTTACAGTCATCAGATAAAACTGTACATACTGGTATACACAATGTAGATGGAATCAAATGGAGCATGTAGCAAAGCACATAGGACTTGTCCAAGAGTAAATTCATAACTCTAAAAATCTGAGCTTTAACACTTTTTTGTGTTAAAAATGTTACAGAGAACATTTTTTTGGTATACCTATATAGATGGTATATGTTACACATACTCTGAGATACTTTTCTTCTTCACTTTTATGATGATGGCAGGTAACAGAGGGTGATGAAGTTTCTGTTCCTAATAATGAGAGAGGCTCTCCTTACAATCGTGGTGTAACACTTCAAGTATCCAACAGCTCCTCGGTGAGTCATCATGAAGGTTTGTGCTTTGTTGAATGAATGAATTACAGATATAAATGTTATTGATACTAGGTGCAGATAAGACAATTCTTGAACATTTGTAAGAATACATGCAAGATTTTGATCAGGATTATATTTCTTTTATCATACAAATATCTCATAACTTTATAAGCATGAATTTGGAGATGTAACAAATGAATGAAGTATGGAACAAAAGCAACTGAAAGAATGTTACAATGATAATTTATTATAAGGACCTTGGCATAAGTTTTTGTCTTGAGTTCTCAAGTGTTCAAAACTAAGTAATTAATATCAGCAGTGAAAGAGGTACCCGTAGGCTTTCATTTCTCTGCTCTATGTCTATGAGATATATAGAGAATCAAGATCATTTCTCTGCTTTATGTCTATGAGATATATAGAGAATCAAGACCATTTAGGAATTCAGTGGAAACCTTATAACTGTGTATAAGGAAAACTGAAGATAAGCTATTAAAAAAAAGTTGATTTGGAAACTAACAAGAAAAAGTACACAATCTCACAGCCAAAAAGTAAAGCACAATCAACTGTCAACTATTGTGAACAACAGATGAAAACAACTCATTAGGCGGTGTCACACAGAGGCCAAAATTCCGGATTTTACCGGGTATCCTCTTAATTGGCTGTCTTTCATCAATTATCCCTTCAAAAATTCCTTCAAAAATCCTCTAACGAAGCAAGGGAATTCTCCCTTGAAAGGATTTTTCAAGGGATTTTTAAGGCATTTTTCAGTCTGACACCAATTTTGAAATAATCCTCTTTAAGGTCAATGTAAGGTCAACGTTTGATGTAATGATTGGCTGGCATATGGATTTAACGCGCTATCATAGCCTGCACACAATTATATTAGCGCGCATTTAATGAGACATAAATGAAAAAAATAGATTTCTAAAATTGGTTTGTTGAAGATGGGTCAAGATTTTTCTGTGTGACACCGCCTATTCAAGCAGTTTCCAAAGGGTAAGAGAAAATTGTATACATTTCACACAATCAACAGCAATGCACTTGAAAAGTCCAGGGAAGTTTAAAGGGACTTGGTAACATTGTTAAGAGGAGAGATAGTGGTGCTAAGGTAGTGACTTCAATGCTAGACGTACAATTAAAGATAATCTGAACATTTGAGTGAAAATGCAACATTATTCATGGTACAAATTGGGAAAAACTGATCTGATCGGTCTTTTTTTCATGGAAAAACGGTTGGGAAAATTAAAAAGTGGTTGGGAGAATTTACTGTTAATCACTGTTACAGGGTGTCGTACATCGACACCTTCAAAGAAAACCATAGATATCTTTGTCTTTTGAAAAAATTTTCAGGAGTTTTTTCATGTCAGAGTACAGTACAAGGAATATAGTAAGTAACATTTTATACAAAATTAAGCAATTTTTTCATCAACCTTCAACAGTTTTACCAAGTCACTTTAAATATTTTGTTCAAACTGCAATCTATCAAATGTTTGGTGCAAACTACAAAGAGCTGTTTTTGCTTATTTGTTATCAAATTCAAATGTTTTTAGCTTATTTTTTCATTGCTCTATTACTTAATCAAGTATTTGTTTTATATAAAAAGATTTATGAATATTAAACCACATATATATATATATATTTTATTTTTTTTAAAATTTGCCCAGACTCTTGTTTTTCCCAATATCCATCCGCAAATATTCATATGTCCTTTTAAAATTCATTTCTACCATTCATAGAGATGAACATTTGGAATTTACTTCCTCATGGTTAAAATTTATTGAAGACACATTTAATCAAGCTGGTCTATCCAATATTTCGCTATGCCAAAATGGTGGATTTGGCTTAAATATTAATTCTTTGTTATAATTGAGACTAAATGATATTTTTGGTCAGGAATGGAGAGATGCAGTATGGTCAAATCGCATTTGCACAAATTGTAGAATATTTAAAGGCAACCATATTATTTGAAAGCTATTTACTCACCCTAAATAAAACTGATGCTTTTACTCTCAGTATTAAAGTTCCGGTGTAGATCACATAAATTACCTGTAAACAAAGGTCGGTTTGATGCGAACACACCACATTGTGATATGCAGTGCACACTCTGCCTGTCCACTGATATAGGAGATGAATTTCACTATATTTTTGTTTGTTCATATTTTCAAAGGGAGAGATGTTTATATTTATCAAAAAAGTTTTGTAAGTGTAAGCTTTCAAGTGCTATGCACATGACAGAACTTTTTAATACTAAAAGCACTTCTCAGTTGAAGAATTTAGCAAGATTTACTCGCCTTATTATGTTGAAATTTTATCAAAAAACAGAGAAAGAAGATAGTTCAAGCATTTCAAGAAGTACAATTAGAGCTGAACCTACACATACGCTAGCGGTAAGATAATGAAACAGCCTACTTTGTTTACTATTTAGCTTGTAAATAGACTGCATTATACTTATACACTTATTATTGTCACTATCAACATTGCTATGTATGTTTACTAGTTGGTTCATTGTTCATGTTTGTACTTTCATGCACTATACACCTATTATCGTTTGTATCTTTGTGTCATTATCTATACTGTATAATGTATGAGAATTGTATTCATAAGTCATGCATTGCTATTTATACTTTCATGTTTGTTTGTACTCTCATACCCCGAGAGGGGGTCAAAGAGTCAATAAAATTCTATTCCAAATTATATTCTATTCTATCCATCATTGTCAGGAGGTTTTTATGGATTATTCTTATTTTATATTTTCTGTTGCAGTACTTTGTGCAGCCATGTAGCAGCTTTGGATCGGTTCTGTAATTCTGTTTTATTTGAAGTGCAAAACATGGTAAGTCTTTTAATGTTTCATGTTTCAACTCCACTTGGTTTATGACCTGCAAACCATCAGGCTATTAAATATAAATTATTGCCCAAGTAAATTCTTGCTTAAATCGGGTCTTTGTTATCAAAGCCACCTACATGTATTATTGAAAACCATTACATTTTGATCAATTTTCAACATTCAGCTGTGTATTAATCAAAACATGAACTGCCTCAAGGGGATAAATAATAATAAAAAATTATTTAGGTTATTTTAAAACTTTTTCTCAGAAGTAATAAAAAGTAAATAAGTGATCTGTATCAAAACTAATGTGACAAAGTTAAATACCAAAACTATTTTATGGTCTCCCATTACCATATACTTTTGTTGTATACCCTGTAAAGATTGTTTATGTTTCAGACATGATGATTCATTCATTCATTCAACAGTATGTATCAGATAATGTATAAAATGTCTGGGTCAGGTCTGTGATATTTTTTAATTTTTTTTTAAAATGATTTACATCCAGGGAACTGCTTTGGATGTCAACATCCAAAAATCATGTCTTTGGATCAAACTCTTTGTGTGTCTTGTGTCTTAAATAGAAGATTTTAAAATCAAAACTGTGAAACATGTAAAGAAAAAGAAACTATTTGTCTTAAAGAATGAAAACAGCTCATGTTCTATGGTGTGCTATAAAATTATTTCTCAAATGATTACTTTTATCTTCGAAAATTGAAATTTAAATAAACATGAAGATGTTATTAGTAAACTATAACTTAAAGGACCTGAAGTTTTGTTTAATCAATTTTATGATAGATTTTGCTCAGTTCCTGTTTACAATCATCATGTAACATACAGCTTAAGAAATTTACCTCATAATCAGAAGAGGCTGATCAGGGTGGGGCCGCTGGGCTGTAGCCTTCGTAGTAAGTTCATGGTATATGAACCGTCTGTTGAGGGTTTGTTCACTTGTGAATAATGATGTGAGTAAACTTTGGATCATATTCTGAGATTTAGGAATTGTCTTGAGGTAAACCCATCACATCACAAAATGATCATTCTTTAAAAAAAAAATTAAAAAAGAAGAAAAAAAAAATCAAAGTCACTTACTTTTGTACAGCACAGTAAGTTCTACAGTAATATACTCTACATTTGAGGCATTTTGTGATAAATTTAGTGTTATCGGTGCAGTGATGTGCATGCAGGAATCTGAAGCTGATTTATGTACATATCTTATTCAAGTACATTCATGTTTGACAGGGATTCTATGAAATTAAATCTACTTGTAATTAGTAACCTTTCCTTATCTTGAATTGAAGTCTGACCAGTAGTATTGATCATTGAACTAAAAGTAACCCAAGGACTTCTCTAACTTCCATTTTGTTCTGTAGTTTCTATTTAACTCGAGCATATCCTTTTCATTTCCAGCCGATAAACAGCTTGCATTTGAAGATTGAAACCTTACTGCTGGTCAGTTGTAAACAATAAAAGAGGAAATGAACCAAGGTAAAACAAAAACCTTAAAGAGAAGGTTGAGTTCTGGGAAGAGGTGAAAAATAATTTAATAATAATAATAATAATAATAATAATAGCCTAATAGTCCACTCCAAATTTTATTAAACCGAAACGGAAATTCTTTTTGCCCAATTGATCGTGAGCCCGGCAGCCACTGAGCAGCGCCAGATCGACGTTGCTCATTCTTATTATGCAAGTGTGGAAGAACATCAGTTAAGACATGTTCCCTGAAAAGCATGGCTCTTCAAATGCCTTCATATTCTAAATATGCATGTAACATTGTAAAAATCGGGGGGGGGGGGGGGGGCGGCTGTTTACGCCACGTGTTCGTATAGTCCCATATACATCTTTCTGTGCAAGTGTTTGTAACTTTACCAAGACTTGGCCAAATTTCTTATCATTTTGATGATTCCAGAACCTTGCAATACACACAAATTCTTATATGCTAGATGATCAACCTTTTCTGGTCGGTTCCACACCGTTTCTTTCACAATGCAATCCATGACCAGAACTCAACTTCATCTTTAAACAAAACCTTAAATTTGCACAAAATATGATTATTTATTTGTGAGGAGAAAAGCATGTACATGTTAAAAAAATTAGTTCATCATTAAGTTAAAAAAAGTTTTCATATATCTTATCACATACCCTTCCATATATAATATGTTATAATATGCAAATATATGTATGTGTATGTGGGTACCTTAAAATTGCAAAACCACACAAAATATAATTATTCATTTGTCAGTAGGGAAGCATGTTTGCACATGTTTATAAAAACTAGTATATATATTATTCATGGTCGAATGAAAATCATGAATCTTATCAACTTTCTTAGCCCATGCCACATACGAACAACATAATATGGAACATTAAAGAGAAAGATGAGTTCTGTTGATGTGATTACAATGTGAAAAAGAATGTTAGCAAAAAAGAGAAAAAGGTTGCATTTAGTATATAAGGATTGATGTATTATGTGAGGTTAACCCAGTCTTCTTTAAAATCACATGCATTTCACACAGAAAGGGGCATAGGGGACTACACACACATAGGGCATGATAAGTGTGGTCCAAACATTTCATCTCTTGGTGATCCTTTGCAGGAGACAAATCAACCTTCCCTTTAAAGGGATAGTTGAGTTCTGTTGCAGAGGGCGCTACACAAAATAATTTTTTTGTGAGATAATGAAAACCTGAGTGTCAAATTTGAAAGAACATAATATTTAAATGACAAAATCATCTTTGTTTGATCAAAATTGGTTCAGAGATGGCTGAAATATAACGATTTCTAATACTTGTGTACCACCACAAATATAAAAAAATCTAGATCTATTTTGAAAAATTTGAAAAAACCATTGAAAAAACAAGATAACGCCTTTTACGCCTTTACGTCGTATTTCAGCCCATGCCCATCCTGGCTTTTTTGTTGGCATTCTCGTGTTGCTTATATTACCCACAATTAGCCAGCTCATGTATTGTAATTTTTAAATAAATAATTATTTAACGGTCACCATGTTTTTTTTAAGTGGAGCTGAATTGGTATGATTGTATTGTCTAAATTTCACACATTTTGGGGTCTAAAATTACCTTCATAGCAATTTTAGGGCTCTAAAAGGGCACTATAAATGTTATAGATAAGAATAAGAGCAATAACCATGCACTTTGAAGGTATATGCGGTCTGAAAACAGAACTCAACCTTCCCTTTAAACCTTTGTTTCTCCCTGCCATCCTGCAATTGAATTCGTAATTGATAGTTGAGTAGGGGAAACACATTGTTTAATTTAAAATGGAGATCAGGAAGTTCTGTTTGATCATAAACCATGACTTGAGAGTTTTATCTGCTCTGATGTCACGATAGACCTTCATTCGCATCCATATTCTATGATTTGTTTCATCTTTATCTCTTGGGTTTTCCTTTAATGAAGTCGTAGAGTGTTGTGTTCATAATTTGAAGTAGATCATACTAATTAGAACAGTTGTAATAAAGGTCCTTTACATATAACCCTAAATGGTACATTAACATGACATAAAAACTGGTATATTACCCTAACCCTAAACCTAACCATTACCCTAAACCTAACCCTAACCCTAAATCAAAACAGTATAACTAATCAAAATAATGACTACTGATTAAACCTACTGTTTCTTGGGAGGCCTTTAACTTTCCTCTGCCTGCACACGTACATAGAGGGCAGCTTTTCTATTGTTCACTCGTTAACAGGACATGAAAATGTCTTGCTAATGACCATGTTTACATAATGACTCATTTTTTCACTACACATGTCCATCTAGCGACGCTGTATAGATGTATATAAATATTGTTGTGCTGGGTTCGTTGTATGTGGATATTGGCAGTAGGAGAGGTGTGAAGCAGCAAGGAGAGACTTGTATTCCGGAGTCATATGAGAGTATTCATTATCTCCAAACTTTGGAGAATCAAATGAATGAATGAATGGTGGTGGTGGTTATTTTACCTGACTGCTAAGAAAGCATAAATAGTAAGTCACATCATTATGAACTTCCACATATTTATGTAAAACACAAGATGAAGAGAGAGCCAAATAGAAAGAGGGTCTTGATCTAATGGTGATCAAAACTCAACTCTTCTCCAGAAAGCCAGAACATGTAATATTTATCAAGAAGGATACAAGTAATATGAGGGTAGGTTACATTGTGCCAAAGGGACAAAGACATGAATGAGGGCCAGTGGCTATTTTTGTATTTGTATTTATTAACATTTATTTCCTTCTCAACAGCACAATATAAAACACAATGTATATATACATGATATATGTAACAATTATTTCAACATAGAGTATACAGTAATTAATTCAGATACGGAAGGAGACGAAAACCCGGAAAGCGTAGCTTGAGTTGGGAACGCCCATAATAAATTAACACAGTTACCGAAAGAACATTATAGATATTATTATGAAAATTACATTGTATATAACAGAACGTTGATAGGAAAGAAAAAAATAGTGAAAGGAAGAGAGGAGAGAATTAAGTATAGGAAGGCATGTTCACTTATAAAAAGAAAGTTACATCAATTGGGCTGTACATGTGTCTGCGATTGCATCATAAAGATAACGAAGTACAATTATAAAATAGACAGCGGGTACATATCATTACAAACAAGCAAAATCATCAAACAGACAACAGCTTTATCCGACAGCATTGTCCTGGGAATATACAGATGGTACTAGCAACAAGTTATCAAAGTAAATAAATAATCGGTCATACAAACATGTCATTAAATTCCACAAAAGATCATTTCACACATAAATACAAGAGAGGGTATCAATATCGAGCAATTAAATACATTTTTGCCTTACGGGAAAAAGTCTGCAAGGAGAGCGATTTGTGTAGAATAGATGGTAAGGTGTTCCAAAATTGATTAAAACTTTCAAATATATAGGTATATGTATTAAATTTTTTAGCAGATATTATCTACCGGTATACAGGAAAACAGTTTTAAATTAATTAATTTGTGTATTTTCATTATTGAA